AAACATCCCTAATCCCATCATTTGATCCTCTTATGACATGGATTCATGGTCAGGAGATCTGAGTTCTAATCCTGGCTTTGCCTCTTACTTTGGGCCAATCTCACTTTCCTTCTCTTTTGAACGAAATAGTCTCTTAGGCCCCTCCCAGCTCTGACATTTTCTTTTTTAACTCTGAAAGGCAGCAAATTGAAGACTCTGGAGAATTACAAACTATACTTTCATATCTCTCTCCAACCACAGAACTGGGGCAAGGACAAGGAAACCACAGAGCTCTCCCCAGCAGAACGAAAGACCCAGCATGCCATGCTATTGGGCAAACTTCTGAAGATAGCACTTGAATGCTATTGACAAGCAGAGCAGAAAGGAAAAAAATCTTTCCCCCATAGATTTCTAGTGTTTTTCTCTCTTGCAGAGTGGGAAGAAAGGAATGAGAACCCACTTGTCCTGATTCCCAAGCCTTGCACTACCCTCTCTGCCCTAAAGTACTGTCTTCTTCCTGAGCGCCCTTCCCCGCTCAAGTCCCCTGACCTGTCAATAAAGGGAAAGAGAGGGCGGCCTCATCACTTTTATGGCCCAAGTTGCCACCCCAAACAGTTTTCCCAAAACAGTTGACTTTGCCCCATTTTCATGCACATGTGACCAGATATTCTACCTCCTTGGTACAGTGAGGTCGCCAAGATGAATTGGTACGAGCAGACCAAACTCTCTTCTTCTGAACTGGAAAAAGAAAGCCCCAGCTGCCAGCCCCTGCTCCCAGCAATTTGGACTCTGATCCCACCCACAATCCCCTTGGAATAAATAGGCAGAGTATACCCATGTGCCCCCTCTTCCTGCCCTCTGCCTCAATTCACCCGGCCTACTTCCTTCCACACAATTTGTGCATGAAGAGACTCCTCTCTGGGACTTCTTCGCTCAGACCCCAAAATTGATGCCACTTTCTTCCATTTAGATTACTTCCTCATCCAAACCCTCTAGGCTGTATATCTCCTTTGAAAGAGGGACCCAAGACTCTTAATCCCTTGCCCACACCTATAAACCTGAGACTTCCCTTTCTCTCATCCAGCCACACTCCCTTAAAAGAAATCTAGCAGGATATAAAGAAGGGTACCCCTAAAGCCTTTTTGGGATAGGTTGGGAGGCCTTAGTGGTACTCAGACTACTTGCCACCCAGCAGGCCCCAGTTAGCCTGGCAATATCCGAGCTATCCACTGTCTCCATTATTTTACCTTTCCAAATTTCAACAGTTCCATGTAATCTATACTTCAGCAAAAGTGGATGGCTCAGTGTCCCGGAATCTCTATCATGTATTTGCCTTACTCTTGGCCTTCATTCATGGTATTTTGTCCACCTGGAATGCTTTCTTCCTCCTCCTCCCTTCCCCTCCCTTCCCTCCCCATTGAAATCCTGCTCAGATTTCACCTTTTCAATAAAGTTTCCTTGTTCCATTCAGTCAGTAATGACCTTTTCCCCTTTTGGCCTTCACGTAACACTAGGCTCCTCTTTTATACACTTTTCATGTATTACTTTGTGTTGCAGTTGTTTCTTTATGTGTCAGATGCCTTTACCAGACCTTAAGCTCAATGAGGAAAGAGTCTTATTTCAGCATTATATCTTCCCCAGTTCTTAACTTCAAGCTCTCCATGCAGTAGGTGCTTAATAAATGTGTTGAAAAAGCAGAAATAGTCTTTGATCTCTAGGGATTTGTATTCAACTGGGGGATGCTATCTTTACACTGTTGTATAAATGTAAAGTATATACAAAGTAATTTCAAAAGATTTTGAAGCACTAACAACTGAGGGGGTGGGGTATGGGAAGAGAGATCTGGAAGGAGTATCTGAGCTATACTTTGAAGGAAAATAGGGCTTTTCTGAGTCAGAGGTGAAGAGGGAAAATGCATTCCAGATGTGGAGGATCACCTGGGCAAAGGCCTGGAGTGAGGAGGTGACTGTCACATAGTGGAGAACTGTTAGCAGACTAGTTTTATTGAAATCAAGTGCATAAGGGAGAATAGCATGTAATATGAATGGAAACATAGATGGTAGCCAGATTGTGAAGGCATTTACATGTCAGGCTGAGGATTTTTTATTTTGACAGGGAGCCCCTGAACATTTTGAGTAGAGGAGTGACATGGTCAGTCAGATCTGTTTTAGGAATATTAGTTTGGCAGCTGTGTGGTGGGAAGATTAGAGGAGAGATGCAAACGGAGAGACTAGTTTATGACTATTTCCATAGTCCAGATGAGAGGTGATGAGGGCCTGAAGGACAGAGGCTATATGAATGCAGAGAAAGGAATGAATGGATGTAAGTAATGCTAAGTCAGTCAGTAAACATTTATTAAGGACCTACTATGTGCTAAGTGCTAAATGAAAGTACAATGGACAAGATTTAGCGATGGATTAGATTGCTGGCCTGAGTTAATGAGTGTTGTTTTTAATGGAAATGGGGAAATTGGAGAGAGTGATGATTTACAAGGCCTCAGCTCTGCCAAAGACCCTGGCTTCCAATTCATTCCATTTCTTTGCCCCAGCCTTCTACTTTCTTGCTTAGGTCTCAATGGATACCTGGTCCTTGAGCATTTGGGATCACTTCTTCCAGCTCCAGTCCCAACCAATTCCCTCCATTGAGTTTGGGTTTCATTTCTCCAGAGCTAACTAAGCCATTCAGCTCCTGAGGGAAAGAGTGGTTAGTTACATGTACCGTTAGAGCTATCCAGTGTTCAAAGCCCAAAGTCCACAGGACTTAGAGTCTGGACATCTGGGTTCTAGGCCAGGCTTTGGTGCCAAATCTGTGAGACCTTGAACTAGTGACCTCCCCTTTCTCCTCCATTGGACCAGACCAGGGGTTCTTGACCTTTTTTGTTTCGCAGGCCTGTTGGACAGTCTGGTAAAGCCTATGGACCCCAACTCAGAAGAACGTTTTTAAATGCATAAAATAAAATCCATAGGATTGCACAGGAAGCCAATTATATAAATATGTAGTTATCAAAATATTTTTTTAAAAATGAGCTCATGGACCCTGGATTAAGAATCCCTAGACTAGCCCTTCCCCGCCGCTTCCCGCAGGATTGGCTTTGGGACTCACTTTTCGCTGCTGCCCTCTGTTCTCACGGAGTGGCTCCTGTTTGTCTTCCCCACTCCCTACCAGAGCAACCAGTGGCATCTGTCAGTGGGAAGGGAAGGAAAAACTCTCAGCAGGAAGATGTCAACCAACTTCCTGGTGCATGAGAAGATCTGGTTTGACAAATTCAAGTACAATGACACAGAGAGAAAGTTCTATGAGCAGATGAATGGTCCTGTGCTTGTCCCCTCCCAACAGGAGAACGGCGCCAGTGTGATCCTCCGTGACATTGCCAGAGCCAGGGAGAATATCCAGAAATCTCTGGCCAGAAGCGCAAACACCAGCACTTCCAGTGGTCCCAGTGGGGACCATAGTGAGCTGGTCACCAGGATTTCCAATCTAGAGGCAGAGAACCAGAGCCTTCGAAGTGTGATTCAGGACCTACAGCTCACCATCTCCAAGCTCGAAATCCGGCTGTGTACCTGGAGAAATGCTTCCCTTCTCATTGCTCTCTGACTCCTCAGACTCAGCACGTATCCCCTATGCAGAAGGTGGAGCTGTCCACCACATCACCCGCTAAGAAGGCGGCCACCCCAGCAGAGGATGATGAGGAAGATGATGATATTGACTTGTTTGGTAGCAATGATGAGGAAGAAGACAAGGAAGCAGCCAGGCTTCGGGAGGAACGGCTTCGGCAGTATGCAGAGAAGAAGGCCAAGAAGCCAGGGCTGATTGCAAAGTCTTCCATCCTCCCAGATGTCAGGCCTTGGGATGATGAAACAGACATGGCAAAGTTGTAGGAGTGTGTCCGTTCCATCCAGCTGGATGGACTGGTCTGGGGAGGCTCCAAACTGGTGCCTGTGGGCTGTGGCATTCAGAAGCTGCAGATCCAGTGTGTGGTAGAGGATGACAAGGTGGGCACGGACATCCTGGAGGAGGAGATCACCAAGTTCGAAGATTATGTGCAGACCGTTGACATCGCTGCTTTCAATGAGATCTAAAAGGCCCCTGAATGTGTGTGAATCTGTAACCAAAATAAAGGCTGAGATTTGAGGTGCTAAAAAAAAAAAAAGAATCCCTAGACTAGATGAGTTATAGGCAGCTAAGTGGTACAGTGAATAGAGCAACAGGCCTGCAAGAAGACTCCTCTTCCTGAACATTTACTAGCTTTGTTACCCTGGACTAGTCACTTAACCCCCTTTGCCTTAGTTTCCTCATCTGTCAAATGAGCTGGAGAAGGAAATGGCAAATCACTCCAGTATCTTTGCCAAGAAATCTCCAAATGGGATCACGAAGAGTTGGACACGACTTTACAGCAACACTAGATGTGTTCTGAAATCCCTTTTCTAGACCTGACATTCTATGAATCTGAGATAAAAGGCTGTTGGGAGATAGACAAGAAACAGAAAGTGACTTGAGGCAGCATGGAATGGAAGATGGGATATTGGATCTGGAATCAGATAGACCTGAGTTCATATTTACCTCAGATACCAGCTATGTGACTCTGGACAAGTCACTTAACCTCCTGTGCCTTGCTTTCTTCATCTATAAAAGGTTGGACTTGATAATTTCTTAGTTCCCTTCCAGTTCTAAATCTTTCATCCTGTGACCTTTGGATAACTTAACTGTGGAGTCAGGAGGATTCAGGATGCACACACAAACACATATGCACGCACCCCTTCCCACCCCACCCCTCACATACGTACATGAAAATGACAATTTGATTAAAAACTACACAGCAGATTCAAAATGATGATACAATAGAGTTGGGATCCTTGAGCACAAGGGAACACAGGGTAATGGATGGGTCAGATTAATCTGAGAAAGTTTCCTGCAGGGGTTCAGTTTTGGAGTAGGTAGGAAGGTTGATCTGGCCAGATAGGAGCTGTTTCAAACATTCGAGTTCCTTCTCCTTCTCACCCTACCCCCAACTCTGCCCAAAGGTATGTCCAAAGTCTTCTGGACATCATGGAGTTCCTGGACAAAGACCCTGAGGACCATCGGACCCTGGGACAGTAAGTGATCAAGATCTTTCCATGGATGAGCACAGTAGGGTCACTCATTAACTATGCCCCTGGACCAGGTGCCCTCCAGGGCCAGAGCCCTGTGCTGAGGACTGGGGCCTGATTGAGGAGAACGAGAGGAGATAGTTGCTGCTTTGTAACAGCTTCCATGTACTAGGCAGGGTGGGGAACCTGTGGCCCTGAGGCCACATATGGCCTAGGTCCTCAAGTACTGCCCTTTAACTTAATTCAGTCCTGATTTGTTCTGTGAAGTTTGGATTCAGTAGAAAGGCTGCACTTGAGGACTTAGGGGGCCACATGTGGCCTCGGGGCCAAAGGTACCCCGCCCCTATTAGAGGATGTCACAGCCCCTATTCTCTTCAAACTTCTCATCTAACAAGGTGATTAGGCTAACACTCCAGCTAGACAGAGCCTTGGCCCTCCATTCTAAGGGCCTTGTTCTAGGGGGATTGAGAAGGGATAAAGGAAACTGAGCTTTTTGGTGCTGGGAGTGGGGGGAGAGTTCTTGGATTTAGGTGTGGGGAGGGCATCCCAGACCTCAAGGCCTCAAGGTCTAAAAAGGGGTGAGGGACTGGGATGAATGGAAGTGCATCTTAAGCACTTGCTATGTGCAGAGTACTGAGGGTTGCTAATACAAGAGGAAGACAGTCCCCATTCTCAAGGGGCTTATGTTCTAACGCAGTTTCAGAGGACCCCATGGTCCTTAGGTACAGTGGCAAAGCGGATAGCAGCGCATCTCTTTTAATGTCAGGGTGGAACAAGGGGCAGGAGGCCTCAGTGGGGAAGAACTCTGGGGGGCAGGAGGTAGGTAGTAGGTTTGGGGAGGAGAAAAACAACTCTTCCCCCACCCTCTCCAGGTTCACAGATGCCTTGGTCACAATCCGGAACCGGCACAACGATGTGGTGCCCACCATGGCCCAGGGCGTTCTGGAGTACAAGGAAGCCTATGGTGATGACCCCGTCACCAACCAGAACATCCAGTACTTCCTGGACCGATTTTATCTTAGCCGCATCTCCATCCGAATGCTCATCAACCAGCATAGTGAGAACGAGGGAGAGCAAGGGGAAGGGGGGAACTGAGAGGCAGAAGAGAACTGCTGAGTTAGAGGGATGAGAGGAGCTGAGAGGGGGGTAGTACGTGAGAGAAACTGGAGGTAGAGGATCTAGAGGAGATGAGGGGGGTGGTGATGGCAGGTGAGAAGAGCTTGGGGAGGGAGCAAAGAGGTGAGAGGAGCTGGCAGGAACCCAACAGGATAACAGATATCCCCTTCCTTCCCCAGCATTGATCTTTGATGGCAGCACAAACCCTGCCCACCCCAAACATATTGGCAGCATCGATCCCAACTGTGATGTCTCCGAGGTGGTGAAAGGTCTGTATGGGGAAAGTGGGTATGCTTTATGGGGAGGTCTCCAACTCCCTGCACTCTTCCAGGCCCTGAGGGGACCAAGCAGCAACCCCATAACTCCTCCTTCAATCAGAAAGATGCCCACTGCCTCCCTGGGGAGTAGGAGGGAGAGTAGGAAACCTCACCTCTCCTAAGGGAGAGGCTTGAGGGGAAACTTCAGCCAAGGGTGGCAACTGTTGGCACCACCTAGTTGGCAAAGAAAGGCTCTTTCACTTGAGCTCCCCCAGTAGGTGGAAACTGCGTCAAGTACTTTCTTAAGACTAGTTCCGTGTGTGTGTATGTTGGAACTTTTCCTCTCTTTCCTCCAGATGCCTATGATATGGCCAAACTCCTATGTGACAAATATTATATGGCCTCTCCCAGCTTGGAGATTCAAGAAATCAATGGTGAGCTTGGGGTGGGACAGGCCTTGGGAAATTCTCTTGGGAGTGGAAGGGCAGAACAGGTTAAGAAAGAAGTTATGGTGGATGGGAAGAGAGATAAGAGATTGGAGTGGGGCACTGAGTGTGGTGTCCTCTTGGCAGCTCCCTGACTTTTGAACTCTGCCTTACTTTAGCCGCCAACTCCAAACAGCCCATCCATATGGTCTACGTCCCCTCCCATCTCTACCACATGCTCTTTGAGCTCTTTAAGGTAAGGAAGCTCTTTGAGGGGAGGAGGGGGTAGCATGGGAGAGGGAGAGTGGATCTGCTAGAGGAGAAGGCATCTGAGGAAAAGAAGAGCCGAATTGGGCTCCCTAACACTTCCCCTCTCTTCCCAGAATGCCATGCGGGCAACTGTGGAGAGCCATGAGTCCAGCCTTACACTCCCACCCATCAAGGTCATGGTGGCCTTGGGTGAGGAAGATCTATCTATCAAAGTATGTGACTCTTGACCTGGGGGCTGGAAGGCTTGGAGTTGGGAGGGGAGGGAGGGTTGGGGATGGGGTAAGGATGGGAAGTTCTCTGGATGCTAAGTATTGGGTACGAGGGATACCCTGGGTATGCCCTCTCATGAACTCTTATGGTTTGAGGTGATTTCCTCTGCCCCTAAGACTCTTCCTCCACCCACTGAACTTGGGCTTGGGGCAGGTAATGGGAGGAGGAAGGACTGAAGGAGGAAGAGGGATGGGGGACAAGAATGTCTGGAGAGGCTGGGAGTTGGGGTGGGTGGGGTGAAGGGGAGCAGCTAACATGTCATGTCTCACCTAGATGAGTGACCGGGGTGGGGGCGTTCCTTTGCGAAAGATTGAGAGGCTCTTCAGCTACATGTACTCAACGGCTCCCACCCCTCAGCCAGGCTCAGGGGGAACCCCTTTGGTGAGATGGACCCTCCACGCCCAATGCACCCACCTTCCCACCTCCCCAACGGCTCCCCCTTTCACCAGCTCCCAGGCTCATTCATGGGCCTCTCTCCCTTTGTGCGCCCCCCTCCCTCTTGGTCTTTCTGACTTTGCCCCTTCATACCTTGTTTTGACTTGCCCTCTGTCTCGATGTCACTCGTTTTCTCTGTTGTACTCTCTCTTCAACTCTTGGTATCTTGACATTTTTACACATCCCTGTTCTCTCATTCTCTTTGTTTTCCTACTCTTCCACCATGACTCAGTCTCTTCCTCAGCCAAACTTACTCATCCATCTATGCCTCTAGGTGACTGTCCTTCCCCTTCCCTAGCTTTCTCTCTCCTCTATCCATTTGCCTCATAGCATTCCTCCCTCTACAATCTCTCCTGCTGTCCCCAGATCTCCTTTCCATGGAATAACCAAGAACCTCATTCCCTGCAGGCTGGTTTTGGCTATGGACTCCCTATATCCCGCCTTTATGCCAAGTACTTTCAGGGCGACCTACAGCTCTTCTCCATGGAGGGCTTCGGGACTGATGCTGTTATCTATCTAAAAGTGAGTGATTCTGTTTCCCACTTCCTCCTGCTCCTCTATGATAGAGCTGACTGGTGTTGAAATGGAACAAGGAGGAACCTGCTGCTTCCTCTATCTCTGGGGATGACTTTCTTACCTTACCCCTTAGCTTCTTACCACTGGGCCTGAAACTCGGTCACTGTCTTGTGAAGGTGGGAAGGAGGAGGGCAGCTACTTCTTGCCCTAGGATGCCAGAGCAGGACCCTCAGAAGGTCGTTTTATCTACTTCCGGGTCTCAGAGGTCTATGGTTAATATTGTGGAAGGATTTGACGGGAGCTGACCTACTGTGTGCTAACTGCCTAGCATCCTTTGTACCTGCTACCCTGCTGAACAATGAGCAAGGACTCAATGCCATTCCCACCCCCTCCTTATGCCCTCACTCTATGGCCCAGCTCTGGGGAGTTCCAAGGGTATTTCTAGGGTCCAGGTCCTCCACCCATCCAGGGAAGGCCTGAGTCAGTGTTGCTTGGAAGAGGACCAGAGATTACCAGAGAGCCTGCAGGAGGAGGGCCGGGGCACTCGATATGGCCTTTTGCAACACCTGTCATCCCTGGCACCCAGATCAGTTCCTCTGCCTTTTCTGATTTGGACAGACACAGGCTGCATGAGGGATGAGCTGACAGTCCAGAATAGCCCTAGATTCCAGTAATAATTATCCATGATTCTATAACACTTGTGGCTGCTCTTGGGAGAAGAGCCATTGGGGGCTGACCTTCTGTGACCTGGGCCCCTCTACCACACGATTTGTGGGCATGCTTGGAGAGTGGTGGGCATGGGCAGGAGGGGGTACTGACACCTGTCCCTTCCTGACAGGCCCTGTCGACAGATTCTGTGGAACGCCTGCCTGTCTACAACAAGTCAGCATGGCGTCACTACCAGACCATTCAGGAGGCAGGCGACTGGTGTGTGCCCAGCACAGAGCCCAAGAACACATCCACCTACCGAGTCAGCTAGACAGGCTGCCAGTGGATGAGGCTTTGGGAGGGTTCCCGTTGCTGGCAAGTCCCCTCCTGGCTTTACAATGATGATCATGAGGACATATGGATCTCTTTAGGGACCGGTCACCCTGGTGACCTCCCCCCCCCACTATCTGCCACCCTAAGGGGTTGGGGGGATTTCACTCTGATGACCTGTCTCTGTTTCCATGAAAACTATGGTGATGCCCTTTACTACACTGACCCCCCAGATGCCAGTTTCTGTTTCTATAAAGACCCCTGGGGATACTCTTCCCTTCGGACCTTCCCCTGTACCCTAACCATCTTAAATTGGGGGTGGGGTGGGGAAGAGTTCTCTTTGATTACCTGACTGTTTCTATGGCAACTATAGTGATGCCTTCACTACAGTAGCCCCCAGGTGCAATCTTTGTCTCCATAGAGTCTCCTGGGGAGACGCTTAGGATGGTCTGCCTGGTTACTTACCCCCCCCACTACCCCAAGGAAAGAGGGAGGGTCTTCTTGATGACTTGTGTCTATTTCCTTGGCACCTGGGATGATCCCTTCACTACCGTGGCCTCTAGGTGCCAATTCTATCACTGTAGAGACCCCTGGGATGGTGTCCCTGTGATGTTCCTCTTACCCCGCTGTCACCCCAAGTGAGAGGCCGGGATTCTCCTTGATGACCCAGTGACAGTGAGGGCCTCACCACAGTGGCCCCCAGGTCTGTCTTCATAAAGTCCCTGGAGGGAGACCCCTGGAATGGTCTCCCTAGTGAACAATTTTTCTGGTGACGTCTAGCATATCTCCTACAGGGGTGTGTCCCAATGGCAATTAAAGGGTGGTAACCTCATCTGTGACAAAATCTGTCACTTCTCACCCTGGGGAGTGGGACAGTATTCTGGGTGCTTTGCCACTCATCTTTTTCTAGTTCTTCCATCTGGACCCTTCAGGTGGCCTTTTCCTTCTCATTTGAGCCATTACTCTCCCCCCCACACACACATACTCCCCAGGGGTTGGGCTCTTATCAGTGTTAGGAAAGGACTGGTTGAGGCTGGGACCAAAGAGAAGAGAGGTTACCAGCAACTAGGAGTGGAGCAGAGAGGCTCTGGCCACTAATGTGTCCACTCAGCTAATGGGCTTATCAGGCTCCCAACTTCCATGGGGTTGATGAAGAGGGAAATGTGAGTGGATGGGAGAATCCCTCTTCCCAGGGATATTGGGGCAAACATTGGTCTAGTGGGAAAACTACTTTTGAAGGAAACTAAGGACAACCCCAAGTACCAGCCTTCCCAGAGTTCACCAGTCCTTCTGCCTAAGCAGTGTTTTCCTCTCCCTCCTTGGTCTAGGCTCTCTTTCCCATGCACCCCATCCTGCCTGAACAACTGCAGTCTCTTGGATGCCCCCTTCTGTCATCCCTGCCCTCTTTTTTCCCCCCAAACTGCCCTTGTGCTTGATGTGGCTTGCTCTCCCCTAAACTGTATGTACATAACTAGTTTTGTATCCCTGGGGTGGCTTCACCCCCTCCCTCTCATCTGCCCAGCACACGAGAGGTTAAAGTTATGTGTTCCTCCTGGTGACACCTGGTAAAAAGGAGATTGAATGAGATTCCCAGTTTGGTTGCTTACTAGTAGTGGTGGGAGGCAGTGGAAAAGGATGGGGACGGTGCCCCTAGACCAAGCCTTCCCAGTCCCCTACGTCTCATGATGTCCTATAACAGACATAAACCCTTTTATATACAGAATATGTCACACCCGCAACCCCCTGAAACACACACAAAATAGTCTTAAGATGGTTAACAGGTCCACTATCTAGGTCATACCCATCACTTACACAATACCAATGGCCTACACTTTGGCAAACGGTTCCAATATGCTGTCTTGAACGTGCACGTCAGCCTTCGTTATCTGTGCAGAACTGGAGAGTTGTCCAAGCTGGAAGAACTTTTAGGGAATATCTAATCAAAACCCCTCATCTAATAAATGAGGAAACTGAGGCCTATAGAGGGGAAAAGTCTTCCCCAGGTGTCACACCATAACAGACCTCGTATTTGAACCCAGGCCCTCTGACTAATATTTTCCCACAATACCACTATCTCATGAGCATGACCTTGGCAGAGTCACCTAGGCCTGAAGTGAGGCTTTCCTATACATAGTCTATTTTTTTGTGTTCCTTATGTGCGGTACCCACCCCAGTAGTAATATTTAGGCCCTTTTCACCCATACTTTTAATGCCTCCTTTCCAAGGAGAAAAGAATGTTAGAAATCATCCAGTTCTACTCACTCTTCTCCCCCATCACCAGTTTTAACAAATTAAGGTTCAAGGTGTTCAGTGATTTGTCCAAGGTTACACAGTAAGGGAAGAATTCAAATCCAGGTCTTGCTATCTTTTCCCTTACCACTCCTTTAAGGGAGGGAAGAGAATATCAGAGCAGGAACTGAGATCATGAGTCAGGGTAGGTAGCAATATGTGGCAAGTAACCCCCCCCCACCTTTAAAGACCAGTCCCCCAGAACCAGGTGGAGCATGAGTAGCCCAGGCAGGGGACACAGCCATCAGCTGTTTGGATGAAGTTTTCCGAGTCTAAAGGGGGAGTCTTCTGCGATTCCAGATCTATGCTGGTTAGTCTCCCAGGAGAGAGAAGAAACCTCCATTTCTCTCTTAGACATTCCTGTCTCAGACCTGCTACTGGGTCCTAGAGGAGAGATAACAATGTCCATGGGTCTTGAATGAAGACTTTGAGCATTTGGGGCACCAGGGTGGGGAGGGAGATGTCCACTGCTTGGCCCATGTCATTACACTGTGACATTTCCTAACAAGGGCAGAAGCTGGTTCTTGGCACTTTGCCACAAGAGCTATTAATCCTCCCCCCCACCACCCTGAGGGAAGGACTGGGCCCTGCCCATCCCTGAGGGCACTTTGGTGCCCTCTGCTGGCTGCGTCCATCACTTCCCCTCTGAAGTTCCCTGATTTAACCCTCCCTCAGAAGGGAGACCCTGGAAATTATGAGGTGTGATCCAACAGCCCTTAAGGTGGGGCTGGGCCCTTTACAGCAACTTTGCTAACAATGAGTGAGCTCTTAGACTAACTTTTTAAAAGACAGTCAATGGGGAACACCGCATGGAGAGCTTTGGACCTTGAGACACAAGACTTTGTGGGTGAAGAGACCCCCGAGGGGACAGGGAAAACAGACCTTGGGACACCAAAAGGAGCACTTTGGGGCTGGACTGGGCATGAACTCACCTGGAGCGAGGGGAGTGGGGTTAAAGAAGTTCACATCTGATAACTTCCTGTTGTAGCAAGTTATTTTTGTTAGCTAGATGCAAAGCTCAATTGCTTCTGTGTGTTGAAGGAATACGTTCTATCTTTGCCCTCTAACTTTTGATCAGCCCCTCCCTATTTACAGCTCAGCCTTGGCTAACGGAGTATTGGGATACTGCCCTGTCCTCAGAGTGGGCCCAGGTGTCCTCTCCCCACCATCACCTTCCCTGGGAGGAAGAGGAAATAAAAGCCAAGGGGTTGGTTTTGAATCCTAAGTCAGAGTAGAGCTCAGCTGGGAGTGAAAGCTCAGGGGCACCAAAGAGAGGGCTGGCGAAGATGTAGTAACCCTTCTTAGCTCAGGTGTCAGAAAATGGGAGAGAACACATCTCTTCCCCTCAAACTCCTTAAGCATTTTAAGGTCTCTTAAAGAAGATTCCCTGAATTTTCTGTTTTTCTGGCTTGGTGTTTATCCTTGATCTTTCTTCCTACTGTCTATATCTTCCCTTCCGGGGAGGAGTGTAGACCTCTTCATGGATGCAGAAGTCATTCAAGGACCAATTCAAGCCATTTTCCTTCAAGATCCCTCCCTCCCCCCAAGAGTAACCTTAAGTCAGAAACAGGAGTAATAACCTGGTCCTGTTACCACCCCAACCAACAATATGTTTGTAATATGGGGCACCAATTTAACCCCTAGTTCTTCTCCCTGGGTTATTCTTAACTCCTTAGAGTTTGGGGACTTTGGAGATGTTCCTATCCTCAACTCAATGCCAAACATGTCTTTGAAATAGGATTTATTCTTCTTCCCCAGAGAACCCCCTTTTAGTGGGGTCCCTTCTTGGGGTTTGGACAGGGGTACTGAGAGGGGTCTGGATGGGAATGTGTGCCCCTAAGGGGTGGGACTTTGGGGCTGGTCCAAGCTTTCACTCCTTCATTCCCCCTTTCTTCCAGAGGTCCTGTGGTTTTTCCTCCCTCCCCCTGGGCTGAGGGAAGTAGAGTATGAGGGCTCCCCTGCCCCAGCAGGCAGGGAGTCATGCATGGTCTGTGCTCTTAGCCTGGGAGCCTCTAGCTTTTTCGAGCCTCAGCCTCTTTGCGCTTCTGTTTCTCCCGCTGCCGTTCAGCCTTCTCCTGAGCCTTTCTCTCTTTCTCAGCTGCTGCCACCAACTCCTTTAGCTTCCGTTTCACCAGTGCCCGGTCGTGGGAGTTGCTGAGCCCCAGGCTCTATAGGAAATTGAAGGAAAGTGTGCATTTGAGGGGCAGCAAAGATATTAGCCATCCCGTTACCTGGGGACTTGGCCCATTGATACTCTTTTAAGAGGGAATAAGGAAGAACCTTCAACTTTCCTCAATCTTGTGCCTTCACTATGTCTTCTCTGAAGTATGACCTGTGCCCACCTTGATACAGATCAATTCCCTTTCTGCCCGCTGGGACCTTGGTAAGAGGTAACCACTCTATAGAAATTCAGAGAGAGGATAGGAAGGGACTTGTATGTAATATCTTTTCCCCCATTCTACCCACAAATCCCATCACCTCCCCTGGTATCTCCTGGCCCACCTACCAACAGCAGATCTCAAAGTCCTTTCCATCATGCCCATCCTGGGGAGTAGAAGCATCTAGACTCTTCCTCCCATGTGGTTGGGCAGAAATTTTAAAGCACAAATTAAGAAAAAAACTCCTCGGCAGAGATTGTAGGTCAATAGTTGCCATTCTCCTCCCACTCACCACTTCCTACTGCCTCCAGCCTGGAAATGGAAGGTCAGGCCAGAGAAATCCAAGACTTTCTGGATAACTGACCTAGAGGAAGAACCTTAACTGGAGGCCAAGGCTCAGACCTCTGCCTACTATATAGCCTCCCTCGCTCGTGACTAACTGGCTAGTTAAGAGTGGGAAGACTCTCCTTATCCCAGCTAGTCCCCAGCCTTCAGAAATTTCTCAGTGCCAAAGTGGGCCTTGGAACCCTTCCCTTTCCCCATAGGGAAGAGTACAAGTGGAATGAGGAGAGACCAGAGTCTAAAGTCTGACTAAGGACCTCCACTGGAGGTCTGTCAATCCACTGGGAACTAAACTGGGGCCACAGGTCTTGATGCTCCATGCCCACCCACACAGAGATGCCTCCTCTTTCAAACCTTCAGTTTCCCCCCATCCAGTTGCAACAGCTGCTGTCCATCCACTTGTCTAGCTGCAAACTCGGCAGTGTACTGATCCAAATTGAGACTCTCTAGCCACTGGCCCACTTGTTGACTAGTCCAGTGGTTGGCAGTTGGAAGTTGCTCATCCAGGAACTACGTGGTGAGGAAGGAGAAAAAGAATGAGGGAAGGGGGATGACTTTACCGTGGCCTTTTCAACTATCCTAATTTTGCACCAGAGACTCTTGGGAGTGGTGAATGGGGTAATCTTCAGGTTAGGCCACAATATCTCCCAGCTCTGGAATCCCATGTTCAGGACCGTGGATAGATCCCACCAAGAAATGGGGCCTTCACACCCTCTCCCTCTGCCTTATCTTGGGCCCAGGTCTAGAACTCACCTCATCAGAGGACTGGGAGAGTGTGTGGTAAGGGTAGGAGCACTTGGGATCTGGTCGGGAGCTGCTCAGTATCTTAGGGCTACTGCTGGGGGGTGTGGAGTCATCGTCACTCAGGGTGGATTCCTGAGGGGGGAATGTTCAGAGAGGGAGCTCACATTGGTGTCTGCAGGTGTCCCTGCTTAACTCCCATCTGCCCTTCAGAGGACTTTGCTCTTTTCTGGGTCTGAAAATCCTGGGCTGAAGAATTTTTTTGAGGTGTGTGTTGGGGGAAAGGGAAACAGGAATGAAAATAAGTATGAGAAAGAATGGGGATGGAAATATAAGACCTGGTCTCTATTCTCAGGAGCTTATGATCTGTTTAGGGGAGATATAATGCTGGTAATGCTGCTGCTGCTGCTGATAGTAACTGACATTTGTAGAGTCTTTAAGGTCAGAGGCAACATGCTACAGTGGACAAAAAGACATAGGTTCAAGTTTCAAATCATGATCCTGAGCAAATTATTTAGCCTCTCAGTTCTCTAAAGAGCTCTCTTGAGATCACAGATAAGGCTGGTAGCAAGAGTTCCCTATACAAATGAAACCTCAGGTTTGGACCCTCTCTTTTAAGGTTTACAAGATATCTCATGTAAATTGTCTCATTTGATGTGGAAACATAATATAAATGGGCATGGGGGGATGCTGTAGGATAACAGAGAAGAGAATACTGTGGACTTGGGATAGTGAGGGTATAGTAAGGCTTCTTGGAATAGGTGGGAGTAGACTTGGGCTCTCACATACAGGGGTTGATCTTTAGAGATCCCTGTTGAACTTAGAGGATGGTGAGCCTTTGTTTGGGGTTTTTAATTACATATCCTTATAAAGAGGGTTGGTATACTCATTTGAGCCACTCTTCATTCAGTGTGGATACACTGATAATCAATTGGTTGGTTTAGATTTTCATAGAAGGAGCCATTCGTTGGTTTTATTGTTCAATAGTTTCAGTCCTGTCTTCACTGTTCATGACCCTATTTGGGGTTTTCTTGGCAAAGATACTGGAGTGGTTTGCTATTTCCTTCTCCAGCACATTTTACAGAGGAGGAAACTGAGGCAAACAGGGTTAAGTGACTTACACAGGGTCACACAGCTAATAAGTGTCTGAGGCTGGATTTGAACTCAGGTCTTCCTGACTCCAGGCCAGGCCCTCTATCCACTAGCTGCCCTCAATGGTTTTGTATTGACCCATAAAAGAGAACCTTCCTTGAAAACTCAGCTTTCTTTGACCTTTCTCTTCTTCTGGAAAAATCAGCAGAGCTAACATCAGACTTCTGCTTGGGGAGTGAGGGTGAAGAATGGTCATAGAGTCATTGAAGGGATCTCAAGAGACATCTACTCTAATTCCTCTCACTTTATAGATGGGAAAATGGAAGCCTTGAAAGATTATATGTCTTTCTCAAGGTCACTCAGGTAGTATCAGAAGGAAGATTTGAATCCAGGTGCTCTGTCTCCACAGCTAGTGCTTTTTCCATTTTATCATACTGCCCAAACCACCAATGTCTCCCTTGGGACAGAGACACATAGAAATTACATTATGTTCTTGCCCATGAGGCCAAGAGAAGAGCTCCTGGAAACAAATTCCTGGCCCCAGCCTTGCAGAGGTAGAAGTATAACATCTTATCCCAAGATGGCAGCTGTGGAGGATATGTGATCTGTGAAAAAAGTTGATGAAACCCAACCTCCTGGATAGAGAAGGGGAGATGTTGAGGGTAGGATGAAACCAGCCTTCTGCCAAGGGAAGGGAGAGCTCCTGGGTTGTGACAGTACATTGGAAAGGGAAGAAAATCCTAGAATCCAGCCTTCTAGAAAGAAGGGGAGATTCTGAGCAGCACCATCACTTGGGATTTCATCATCCACAAACCCAAACTTTAGTTCAGGGATCCAACCTTCTACAGAGAAAAGAGGACCTAGCTGAGGATCTAACTGCTCTGTAGTTGGGAGTAGCAGCATGGGACTAAGTTGTGATATGGGAGAGGAAAAGACATAGATTGTGCCCTCTGCTATTAGCTTAGTTGTTTGTCAGGGCAGATCCAAAGAGGAAGTTGTCTCTTAGAATGCAACCTCAGATGCTTTTTCTTTGAGTTGGGGAGAAATGAGAAACCCAAACCCTCAGGCTGGTGCTGTAGAGTTAGATGTCTGTATGGGTATCTAGGAGAAAAGTAAGACTCCCCAGAATGTTAGGGGAGTTACCTTCCTTATGATGCTAAGTATATGTCCCTTTCAGGGAGCCCAAGACCTCATGGAGTACTGTGTCTAGATGAGTCTTTGAAATGAAAGTGGGACCCACAGAAATATGAGATTTGAGTGGGGGATGCTGTAAGTCTAGGGGACTCTACTGGGCTATGGAGAAGGTAAAGTTCACTGCTGAATGAGAAGAATTATATTGATGCTTGTTTATGGGCTACTCTGAGTCCTTTATGTGTTTTATGCCTTGGTAGGGTTTTTTTTCCTGTACTTTTTGTGGAGTGAAATAAGAGCTGTCCTATGCCAGAAATATGCATTGTTACCCTAAGTATTTGAATAGGAATTGTGGAGAGTTAGACATGAACCAGTAGGTGAACTCTATTCTAAGACTTCCCAGAAGCAACTCTGGTTGGAGGCAACATGAGCCTAAAAATTATGATTTGGAAGGGACAGCCACAACATTGGACCTAGTCTGTGGAAACTCAGGGCTTTGGGGTAATGAGTTACAAAAAAGAGAGAACCAAGTAGAGAGCACAGAAACTTTGAAGGTGGGAGTGGGGGAATCTTTAGGCAGAAAGGAAAGTCTTAAGTGCATTAGGAGTGCCAAGGATAGCCATGCTAACCTGAGAAGCTGATTTCTTGGGACTGAATCCTTCATGCTTGGGAGAGCAGGCTGGGGAAGCAGTGCTCCCAGAAGAAGCAGAACCTTTGCTGCTGTCTGTGAACCAGGAGAAGGGCAGGAATGGGGAGCCACCTGCTCTGCCAGAGCCTTCCACTGACTCCCTGTAGAGAAACAATGCCAATCAGAGGGCACCCACAGAGAGTTCTAGGTTGATGTAAAAGGCATGGATTTTTGGCAGCAGGGCACCAATTGGGTGTTGAGTTACCTGCTGCCCATGGACAGTCGGTTGCTCCCTTTCTCCTTCCTGCTCTTGCCTGTTGATGCCCTCCGCAGAGTAACTCTGTGAGAAGAACCAAGGAAAATGTAGCTGATGTGCTTTTGGCCAGTGTGATACCTGAGTGCCTTGGGACTGGGAATGAGAAACCTGCACAACATGTTAGCATTGAACTCTCAGAAGTCTGGGTCCCTTCATTCTCTTCATAATCCGTCCCCCCAGCACTGAGAAAGATAGCCTTAGTCTACCCTCAGTAAACTCCCATACTCACCCCAAATCCAAAAATTTTCGACGAGTTTTCTTGTCCAGGCCAGTAGTAGGACTGGCCGGTTCAGAGGGACTGGCATCTCGGCTGTCATCTTTGGAGATTAGAGAAAAAGAATCTAAGGGAGTGGGTATAGCCTTTCCCCCAAAATTTACACACCACCAAAGTTTAACTCCTATCCCAACCCCTACCTACCAGATTCACTGGGGACAGAACCATGTCTCTTCTGGATTTTATGTATTTTCATTTTCTGTTTTGCCATAGGAAGGGATCTTAGAGACCCTCTAGTTTGTTTTACAAATTAAGAAACTGAGGCCCAGAGAATGATTCCTTAAAGACATAACTAGCAAGTAACAGAACAAAATTCCTCTGGCCCCAAATCCATTGTGCTTTCATCAGTACCTAGTATAGTTCTCTGCATGCAGTAGATTCTTACTCTATGTCTGAATGAAAGACAAATGGATGGATGGATGGATGAACTTTCTTCACTGTTCTTTCCCATCAAATGAAGATGGAATCAACTGAATAGGTTCCTGAGAACCCATTGCTAAATTCATTTAGGACTTGGAAATCAGCAAATGTTACAAATCAGGGTCTGATTTATTGTTTTGATTGTTTAGCCTTAAAAAAGTTTGGAAGAAAATGTTATTAATGCAGATTAAACTTAAGTGTGCCTACAGCTGTTTGTTAAAACATCGACCAGCACACCTCTGCCACTATCCTATACAAACCACTGCAGTCCTGACCTTAGCTAGGAAATGCCAATGGACAGAAAGGAAGTTCCTTATCTTGTAGTCCCAGCCATGACTGGGGACTGTTGGGAAGTGGGGGGAAGGGGGACAAGGGAAGCAGGGAAGGAGAAGAGTTATCCTTTGCCTTGCAGTACCGAGGAGTGGCCAGTAGGGCCCGCTGTGGGACAGGTAGAAATGTTCCCACCCAACCCGACCGCGCATCTACACTGCAGTTTGTTCACCTTAGGGCAGGTAGTACGTTCTCACCTTCGCTCTGTGGCTCAGCCCGGTGGTGCCGTCGCACAAAACTGGGGGAGCTGTCAGAGCTGGGCGCTGAGCGTGGGGGTGACGAGGAGGCAGCAGCGAGAGCCTCGTGGGAGGCCGCATTGTGTAGGGGCCGGTAGCGGGTGCGGGGTGAGGGCGGTGGTTCGTCTTCGTCCAGGCTCCGCCGCAATCCTGGGGGCTCCAAGGTGAAGGGCCCCCCAGGGGGAGACCCCGGGCCGGAATGAAGCGGCGAGCGCAATCGGTGGAGGGGGCTCCCACAGCCATCCGTTACCTGCCGGTCCCGGAGTGATTAGTTGGGAGCTTAGGACTCCTGGATCCTTGGGGTGGCGTGGGGCGGTGTTGGGGATGCGAAAAAAGGGCTGGGAACCCTGCAGTCTGGGTCCACTTACATCCCATAGACTAAAAGCCAAGAACTGGGACAATTAATCCCTCCCTCTGTTCCCTGAAACTGGAGAAGGGCCTGTATGAGACCTCAGCTCCCCGGCTCAAGGCTATGTGGCTCGATTCCCAGAGTGTCCCCTGGGCAGGGTTTAGAGGCATTAGCCAATAGACTGAGAGAATTGACACTGGAGTTCCAGGGCTATGTATGTCGTGTCACCTATGGAGGAAAGGTCAAACCCCTCTGTCATTAAGACCCTCCACAATTATTCATGATTCTGCCATTCTAGCCTCATGCTGCTTGCTGCCCTCTAAGCACTAGATCTTTCCTCCAGCTGCTTCCCCTGACTGTATCCCCTGAATTCGCCCTCCAAACTCTTCTTCATACTGTCATTTCCTGGCAGGCCCTCTTCTCTCTCTTTAGTGAATTCTGGTTGTTGTGTCGTGTTTTGTTTTGTTCTTGGTCTGGCTCTATGATTTCATCTGGGTAGGGAAATCCCTGCAGATCCCCAACTAATTGGTAACTTGTAGTCTTAGAGAAGTGCTTAGGGACTTGTACAGGGTCCCATAGGTAATACTAAGTTAGAGACAGGATTTGAATCCAGGCCTTATGGATTATCCTACAGGGGAAAGAATACTAGCTCTGGAGTCAGAGGATGTGGATTCAAACCCCTCTGATGTTTATTACTTGCATGATCTTAGCAATTCCCATAACCACCCTGGACCTCAGTTTCCTTATCTGTAAAAAGAGGGACTTGAATTAGATGACTCTTAGGTCCCTTCCATCCCTAGAGCTCTGATCCTTGTGATCTTCTGCAGTGTGCTTTACTGCTTATTCCAGAGTTCTTAGCTGCCTTTTCTTTTCCTACCTGTCTCTTTAAATATATATATATATGCATACACATACACATACATATATAATTTTTTCTAATTATGTGTAAAAACAATTTTTAACATTTGTTTTTTAAAATTTTGAGTTCCAAATTCTTTCTGTTCCTTCCCTCCACCCCCTCCTTGAGAAGGCAAGCAATTTGATATAGATTATCATTCTTGTCTCTTAAAGTCCAACTCAAATGCCATCTCCTCCATGAAGGCTTCCCTGATCATCCGGAACAGGACCTTACCCATTCTGATCACACTTTGGTTTGTAACTCAAATCCACCTACATGATATCATGTAATATGGTTCTCTGTATGGGTGACTCATCCATGTATTAGACTATAAGCTCCTTGAAGGTAAGGACTGTGTCTTATCTAAATTTTGTATCCTCTCCAATTCCTGGCACAATGTTCTGCATGGAGGTATTTTTAAAGCACCTACTATGTATCAAGCACTTTGCTAGGCATTAGTGATACACAGACTAAAATGAAAAGGTTCCTCCTATCAAAGAGCTTATATACTAATTAAGGAATATATACATATTAATACATATTTGTTGTATTCTAACATATTTGTGTGTGAAGGGGAGAAAGCAGCTCTGACCTTGACCCCTGGCCCTTCTGGGCCATCGCCCTCTTCAGCTGAGCTGGCACTGTCCCGTAGCCGAGAACGAGATGGCCGGTGGCGCCTGCCCTTGGCCAGCAGCTGGGCCCGGGCCTTATGCAGGCTGCTGTCCAGTCTGACTGTCTCTGGGATCACTGAGTCCAGGTCTGTATCATAGACAGAGTAAGACAGACATTGGAGTGTCAAGGCCAGAGACATAGATGTAGCAGACACAGGGTGACAGAAAGGCATTGAGAGATGAAGACCAGGACAGATAGAGAAGAACAGAGAGACAGGTCAGTAGGATTGTGCCACTTCCATGGACAGCCAGACATAGTTGAAGGCAATCACTCCCATACCCAGAATGCTCTGTCACCTGGATTCTGTTGACTATAGACTGAGTCCCACCTGCCTTGACTACAGCTCTTACACTATTTCCTCAGGTATAGTAGGAAGGGATCTTCCTCTGCCCTCAAAAAAAATTTTTTTTTGAAAGTTCTGATCTTTACGGAGGAACCTGTATACAGCCTTTTGCTTATAGCTCCACTTAGCACCTATGGGTTTATCAAGTCACGTGGCATTTCTTTTCTTGTCTCCTACATCTCTACCCTCAGCAGGCTGTGGTGGAGTTTTCATACTCCTTCTAATGACTCCATTCATCCATAAAGCCCTCTCCCCAGAGAGATAGCACCTGCTCACCTATACATCAGAGGAGCAAGCACCCTATCAGACATGTGAGCACACTGGGATGGGATGTACTGGGATGTACACATCCTTCTACCTATGGCCATATGCACACAGGTATGTGTGCACATTCAGATTACTCTCAGGACCCCAAAGGCTTTCAACTCAGAAGAGCCGAATGGATAGCATCCTGGGCTTGGAATCAGGAAGAACTGGGTTTGAAACTCCCTAAGCCTCAGTTTCCTCATCTGTAAAATGAGAGAGCTGGACTCTATAACCTCTAAGGTCCTTTCCAGTACTAAGTCTATGATCCTTTGAACTACACTCCCTTCCCCCCAACCCCAAGTCTGGCATTTTACAGCTACCAGCCCCTTTCTCTCTGGCTCTTCCTGAATCCCCAGTGCCTCTTAGAGCTAGCAGCTGAGTTAGGTAGCCTAGCAAAGCTGCTCCTGCTTGTTATTATAATTATGTTATTACTGTTGTTATTGTGTTTTTGTTAATTATTTTTTTCATAAAATAAGAGATGACACTGATAGTAATAATAACTAATATCTTCTCATAAAAAGGTGAGAAAAACTGAATAGCCACTAAATTACTGAAATACTAAATTACCTATTAAATAGGTAATAACAATAATACTGGCTAACACATATAGGGCATTATGATTTTACCATACACCATACCATAAACCCGTAATCAACTAGGAGAAGTAGGTAAGACAGTTATCATTACCCTCACTTTACAGATGAAGAAACTGAGGCTCCAGAGTGAAATGAATTATGCAGATAATACAACTAGAAAAAGGCAGAATAGGGCTCCAGCTTCAGGTAATAGGGTCAAAGATTTAGAGCTGGAAGGGACCTAAGAAATCATCTAGTTCGATCCCATAATTTTATAAATAGGGAAACTGACATTCAGAATAATGAAGTGTGCAAGGGAGGTTCAGATCTAGTTCTTCTTGGCTCCAAATCCAGAGATTTAACCCTAACCCCAGTAGAGGGAAGTTCCAGTTAGTAGTGGATGGGGGTGGGGAGGGCTGAGTCTTCAAGGACTACCATGACTGCCCTCCCCCCACTTCCAATCTTTAGTAGCCATCCAGAGAGGGAAAGAGGCATCATGGAGAGCCCCTAGCCGAATTAGTGAGGACAGTTCCTCTGCCTATGTAGTAGTTCTGTTTCTGGAAAGGAGTTAAAGCAACAGCTCTTCAGAGAAAGGCAGCCCCAGGCAGTATAAGCTTATGCATATTTAATGAGAGAGAGAGAGAGAGAGAGAGAGAGAGAGAGAGAGAGAGAGAGAGGAGAGAGAGAGAGAGAGTTGGGCTCAGCTACCTGGGTAGGTCAAAGAGTGGTGGTAATCAAGATGTGGAAGCAGAGAAACTCTGAGGGTTGGAAAAGAGGGATTAGGCAGGGCCTGGGAGGAAAGGAGACCAAAGAAGAGAGAGCCTGAGTATTAGAACTACAGAGAGTGAGAGACATGAAGAAGACAGAGATGGAAAAAAATAGAGATGAACACTTCCCCTTTTACTCATATACACTCTTCCATCCCACCAGGAAGCATAGGTACCCAAGGATTCCTTTCTCTGACTTTTCCCTAGGTACAGGAGCAACAATTCCAGCCATTTGATGTTTCAGAAAAGATGAATGAAGAAAGAAGGAAGGTAGGAAGGAAGGAAGGAAGGAAGAACAGAGGGAGGGAAGGAGAGAGGGAGGGAGGGAGAGTCAGGAGAGGAGGGCCTAGAGGTGTGGAGATGGGGAGAGGGGAGACATTGGGAAGGCGTAAGAGAGATTATAGATCCTGTGATTGAGAGCAGGAAAGGACCTTGGAGATCATCTAGTCCAACCCCTTCATTTTACAGAGAAGGAAACTGAGGCCCAGAGAGGAAAAGTGAATTACCCAAGGTCACATAAATACTAAGTACCAGAGCTGGGAAAGAAAGAAGAGGCAAGAGAGAAGGAAATCCTGTTGGGGAAGAGAGGTAACTAATGAAAAGTCTGTGGAAGGGATTCTGGTGAGTAAGCTCAAATGAGATCCTCGTAAAATGCTTAGAACACAATACCTGGCACAAGGTAAGCACTATAGAAATGCTTATTCCTGCCTGCTCTCCCTAAGTATAGTGCTTATCAGCATGTATCTGGGAACAAGCAAAAATATGTATGTAAACATTAAACAAATCTTAGGCACACATGGGTAGATAACTATGTATAAGTATGTCCCTGTTCCCAGCCCTCCAGATCTTTTTCTTATGTCCAGGCAACAGATTCATTCATCTTCAGGTACCAGGTGGACATGATGGTCTCAGAAGTACCTTCCAGCTCTGAAATTCTGATTTTAATTTATCCATGATTTATGCAGGAGAAACCCAAGCCCCAGGAGCCTGCTCTCAGCAATCTCTGCCTCTCTCCTCTCCTGCCCCCCACCTTTGCCTTTCTTCCTTTGAGCTTCTGAGTCCAGTGTGTAAACATCAGTTGCTTCCCCCAGTGCATGCTGGGAGTGCTGCTCTGTAGGGACTCTCCCATCACTTGTCCCCTTCTCTAGACAATAAATATAGTGGGAAGTGGGGGAGTCAATGCACATGTGTGGGTGGGCATGTCTGATGCTACACCTCAATGTGCACTAAGAGGCTGTATGTCAAGGGAAAATGTATGCTGAGGAAGCTCTGTGTATGGGGAAGGAGGCACGTGTCTGATGGGGAGTGGGGAAGAAAGAACTGACAAGCAGAGGGTTCAGAACCCCTGAGTACACTGTCTACAACCTAACCTTTGTCTCTATAATCCTCAAGGTTAAGGAAGGCAAGGAAAAGGGGAATAAGCCAGAGGCCAGCCCTGAGATCATGGGAGTATGGGGAGATGGGTACCAGAGCACTTACCAAAAACCTCCTCGGTGTCTCGGAGCTTTGAGGAAGCCATGATGCAGGAGAGCTGGAGGGGAGGTGTTGGAGAGAGAGAAGCCAAGGGTGAGATGTTCCATGTCCACCCACCCTAGGCCTATTGGTCCTTCTGATTTCTCCCTGCCACCCACCTGGAGCTCTTCCCCCCAGCCCTTTTGAAGTGAGGATGTCTGGATTCATGTCCCAGCTCCCAGCAGAAGGGAACCAGCCTCAAATAGGGAGTAAGAACCCCAGACTTTAAAGCTTGGGGAGTCAGGTTCAGGCTGATTTACTGTGTGACTTCACACATGTCATTTAACTTGTCGGGGTCCTGATGAGTTTGGTGGGACTTTTCTCTACTGTACCGAACCTCATGGATTTCTAAGTGGATTGGTTCTCTATGGAGAATTTATGATAAAACTTGAAAGAGCATGGCACCACGCAAGAAGGGATAGAGAGATTGGTATCTGCAACAAGGGGAGGGAATACCAATACCCAGGAAGTCATGGATCCTATTAAGTGTCCTAGGCTCTTCCTCCTTCTCCCCCTCGCCATCATAATAACTAACACTTTAAGATTTGCAAAGCACTGTACAATATTATCTCATCTGATACAACCACTTTATGAGATGGATGCCATTATTATCACCCTCATTTTACCTAGGGGGAAACTGAGGCTGACAGGTTAAGTGACTTGCCAAGAAGCACACAGCTAATGAATGTCTAAGGCAAGATTTGAACTCAGATTTTCTTGATACTGAGTCCAGCCCTCTTTCCACTATGCCACCTAGCTGCTTCTAAATCCTTTAGCAATCAAAGAGTATAGAATGTTAGAGGAGAAAATATAATCCAACCCCTTTATTTTACTGATCAGGAACCTAAAGCTCAGTGGGAAGACATGATTTGTCCAAGTGAGGCAGTAGCCAGGCTAAGATTAGAACCCAGGCTGGCTTGCATATTCTTTCCTTTTCTCTTAAAAATCTTTCTTTTTTCTTCCTTCCCTTCTTCCTGTCTTTCTTTCTTTCCTCTTTCCTTCCTCCTTCCTTCCTTCCTTCCTTCCTTTCTGATTTTTTTTGGTCTGTTGCCAAGATCCTAGCACAGTGTCATGCACATAGAAGGCACTGAATAAGTGTTTGTGGAATCAAGTTTCTTCTGTCCTCTTATTCTCTCTTCAAAACCTGTCTTCCTCTTTACATTCTTCTTTCCACAGCACAGCACTGCCTCTTTATATGTGGTATAGCAAAAAAAAAAGAAGAAGAAGAAGAAAATACCTGTGCAGTCACATAAATTCAATCTCTGACTGTCCTTTAGATATTTGCAAACAGACACAGTTACAGATAGAATCAGAGAGGTCAAAGAACATAACACAAATATGACACCAAGACTGAGAATGGGTGGTATACAATAGTGTACTGTAATCAGGGAGAGGTCAATTTTTTTTTTAACTGGATTTGGAGATAAAGGACCTGGTTTCAAGTCTTGACTCTTCCACTTACTACCTATGTGACTTTGGACAGGTCATTTAACTTCACTGGCCTTGGTTTCCTCATCTGTAAAATGGGGGAGTTGAAGGAGCCAATCTGTAAGACTCTTTTAAGCACTGATCTATGAAACCTCCTCTTCTCCAGGAATCTAGGAAGGACTCCTGGAGGAGAGATTTCAGTAATAGTGGGAGAAATGACTGAGAGACAGGGAAAATTGACAATATCACTGGTGATGATGAAGGATGTACAAAGGGCCCAGAGGGAAAAAAGAGTAAGCCAAGCAAATCAGGGCAATACAATGAGGGGAGAAAGGAGAACCTTGGGGCAACCCTAGGCATAGTTTGGCTGCTATAACTAAGAAGTTAGCTCAAAGCACTGCTAGTAATAATAGCTCCCATTGGTACATAGCAGTCAACCAAATACTTTCTTCACAACATTCAACATTTGCTTTACAGTCAACAAAACATTTTCCTTACAACATTTAACATGTGTCCCCAAAGCCTGTAGGACAACATTTAACATGTGTCCCCAAAGCCTGGACTTGAAAAGCACTTCCCCTAGAAGTAGGCTCTGAGGTGGGGATACCAACGATTATTATAGCCATTATACAGGTGATAAAACTGACCCTCAGACTGATGTAGTGATACTCAGGGGCACAAGAGAGAAATGGTCCCAGTAACTGGGTGAAACCACTATGCACTGGCTGAGTTAATGGGTAAAAATATTCTCCTCTTTCCACTAGGAATAGATCCTAACTCAATCCCACCCATTGCTCTATCTCGTTCTTCTCTCTCTCTCTCTGTCTCTCTCTTTCTCTCTCTCTGTCTCTGTCTCTGTCTCTATCTCTCTTTGTGTGTGTCTCTGTCTTTTTCTGTCTCTGTGTGTGTCTGTCTCTGTCTCTCTGTCTCTGTCTCTCTCTCTGTCTCTCTTTCTGTGTGTGTCTCTCTGTCTCTCTCTTTCTCTGTGTGTCTCTCATCCCTCTCTCTCCAGCTGAAATCCTTTCACATTATCCTAAAGAGGGAGGTCCTGGCTTCAGAGAGAGCGTAGGACACTTCTAGGGGTAGCAGAACCAGGACAGAGGGAAAGAAATTTGATCATATTGACTGAGAATAGGAGAGGCAGCAAAACCCTCTGTAATTCTCTCTTCCTGACCCCTTACTCCAACAATTCATCCCATTGATCTGCTTCTCCTAGCTGCCCCAGAAGGTGGATTATCATTGTCCTTGGTCCAGGTGAGAGGGAGAGAATGGGTCAAATACTTTAACCCTCCACCTTATAAATTCCAGAACTAGAGGGAAGACAGTCTCTCAAAGGGGCTGCCCATTCTCTCCACAGACACCAATGGTCTAATAGCGTTTTGATATCATTGAATGCAGAGCCCATGTTATGACTTTCCTATGCACCTAGGAAGTGGGATTGTTGTCACACAGTGGGGTGTCCCAGGCATGAAATCAGGGTGCCCCGCACTTTCTATGGTAAAGAGAGGAAGAGGCCACTGTACCCCTGGGGCCTTTTTTCTATGTTGGGCATTTCTCTGTCTCCACCAAGCTGACTTCCTATGCTCCATATCTCTTCCTCCAGCCTTGAATTTCTGCCAGAGTATGAAACCAGCTCCTCTAACACAGAGAGAACCCACCTCTCCTTCAGATGACCCCTCCTTCCGCTCTCTTCACCAACATCCTAATATACTCTCAAACTAACCCTTCCCCACATACATTAGGAACTGGGTCTTCTCTCTATTTTCCTTGATTATACATTTGTAATCCTAACCCTTACCACCCTCACCCCCACCCCCACTTCTACTCCAGATCAGACTTTGAAATCCAGGAGGGTAGGGACTGTGTTAACTCTTGACTGTCCTCCAAGCCTTAAGTATGAGGTGGTGCCCCCTGCCATCTCTTAAAATAGCCATCTCTGAGGAAGAAAATCTACAGCAACAGCCTCATTGGAGACAGGAGGTTAGGAGAAGACCCCAGAAACCTGACTGAAGCACAAGCCCTCCAGCCTGAATATTGCTCCCCTCCCTCCCCAATGACTCCCCCTATTCTGCTACTACTGCCAAAATGATTTTTTCTCCCCAGCCCCAGGCCACCCCTTTAATTTTCTTGTGGAAGTGTGATCATCAAGCATAGCCAATGTCTCTACAGCACTGAAGAATTATAGACCCCCTATAATGGAAATAGTGCAAGTATCAGTATTCCAGTTTTACAGATGAAGAAACAGGCTCAGAGAAGTTCAGTGATTTGCCCATGATCACACAGTTGGCAAGAGTCAGAAGCAGGATCTGAACCCAAGTATTCTGAGCAAATTCACTGTTCTGTCTGCTAAACCATACTAAAATGGAGAGGATCAAAGGGATGTTCTCAAGGTCAAACAGTGAGGAAATTTCAAAGCAAGATGAGTTCAGGTATTTTAACTCTAAGCCCCCAGGTTCTTACCACACAGTACTGCCTCTCTGAGAAGGCCCTTTAAGGCTTCCCCCCATCATCCTCCTGATGGCTCTTTGAGGCAGCTCCTCCAGTTCTTCCCCATCTTCCTTAATTGAGTCCCAGAGAATTGGAAATTCCAGCTCCTCTTATTTTCCCTTTCTCAAACCCAGAATCCAGCTTCCCTGGTTGGAAAGGGACTGAACCCCTCTGGGACCCTTTCCACGTGGTTTGATTCATTGGCCTATGGGAAGATTTGGGAAGCTCAAATGGGCCCCACCCCATTTCAACCAGAAGGCTGAATTTATTCAAGTCAAGGAGTAAGCCAGGGATGTAAGGTTCCAGTTGCCTAAGGCAGGAGGAAAAGGAAACAGAAAGGTGTGAAGAAAGTAGGAAAAGTAAAGAAAGGCGAAAAAGAAGAAGATGGACTGGGAGATTTCTCAAGGGAAAGGGAATTTGAAGGCAAAAGATAAAGAATAAGGGAATGGAGAAAACCAGCCTTAGACTGATAAGTAGAAAACAGAAATGATCCATACAAAGTGAGGGTAAGACAGCTTAAGAAAGGGGGGGAGTGTGAGAGAGATAGGAGGGAAAGAAGGAAGAAGAGATTACGATATGGAGTGAATGAGATGAGGGGAAATAAGGAGGGATAGATTCAGAAGAGAGAGAGAAAGGGGCTAACTGCATCCATTAGAGAATGGGAGAGAAGGGTTGGGAGGAGCAGGGGGAGGAGCCCGAGGCAAGGGAGGGGAGAGGTCTGGGGCAAATGACCGGAGGGGCTCCAAGCAGGAAGAGCCAGTTTTGGGCCGAAGGCTGATTGCTGAAGGACTGGCAGGAGGGAGAACCAAGCCCAGCGTTTGCCATATCTAGTGTGAGACTCTTCGCTATCCATTGACTTAGGAATAGGAAACCGACTGCCTTTCATTGAGTAAACATGTTTGGGGAGGTGAAGAGGACGTCAATTTTTCTCTCCACGTCCGTGCAGGGGTGTCTTGGGTTGGGGGAGGGTCACGTAGGACTCCTCTCCACAGATCGCCCCGCTTTCTATTCAATCCAATCCAACCTGAATGAATGAAGTTTTTCCCCATCTCATAAATCGAAATGTATTCAGGGAATGAAGGAGTTAATGCCTCTCTCTTTCCTCCTGCTACCCTCCCTTTCCAGCTTTTTATTAATTTCTCCGGGGCTGGAAGGGATGGGATTAGAGACACAAATCCTTCTCTCCCCACCCCCTCCTGTTAGCATCACCCAAGCTCCCCCAAGCCCCCTCAGAGCTCCTCTCCAATGGGTAAAATAAAGGCCTTTCCATTCCACCTCCCCACTCATTCTGCTCCGCCCGCCCAGTCACACTCTGAATCCCATACGTGAAAAACAAGCGGATCCCGCAGCCAATATCCCCGCTGTGGGTTGAGTCTGATAGAAAAAGCCTAGGAGCTTTCCCCCTAAAAGGGGGAGGGGGAGAGGGCATGGACCAGCCCATGCTCCCTCGAGCCCCCGCCCCGCCCCCCGCCCGCCCTCCTCACCTCCGGCATCTGTCATCTTCAGCTTCCTAAAACCGAGGGGGCTTCTGGATCCATGGTCCGCGGGGCGGGGACGTGAGAGGGGGCTGTGGAGGAAGGGGGAGGGGGTTCCCAACCGTGGCCTCTCCGGCCCCGTCACCCCGGGAGCAGGCAGCTCCCGGCCGACTCACTGGGCTCCATCTAAGAGGGCCGGGCTGGGATGGTCCCAGAGCCGGGCTGAGGGAAGGGGGTGGGGGTGAGGGGGGATGGGGAAGTGGGGGATGGGGAGAGGGAAGAGGAAGGATGAAGCTGAAGAGGGAGGAGGGAAGAGAGAGAGAGAGAGAGAGAGAGAGAGAGAGAGAGAGAGAGAGAGA